GAGGTACAAGAGGATGATGATGATGGAGTATTGGATATATATGAGGTTGAAAATGAAGATGATGATGTAGTACAAAATGCATATAAAGATGATGTTGATGATGATAATGAAGTATAAGATGAACATGAGGATGTAATACAAAATATCGATGATGATAATTAAGTACAAAATGATGAAAATGATGATGATGTACATGATAATGAAGATGATGAAGTACAAGGTGATGATGATGATGATGATGATGAAGTACATGATGATGAGCATGATGAAGTAATGGATGATGATGATGATGTACAATATGATGATGATGGTGAAGTAGAAGATGATGATGAAGTAAGTAGTAGAAAAAGTTGAAGTAGAAATAGAAGATGAAGTAGAAGTTGAAGATAAAGTAACAGTAGAAGATGCTATAAAAAGAGAAGATGTAGTAGAAATAGAAGATGATGTAGAATTTGAAGTAAAAGATAATGTAACAGTAAAAGATGAAAAAGAAGTAGAAGATGATGTAGAAGTTAACGTAGCAGATAAAGTAAAAGTAAAAGATGAAGAAGTTGAAATAGTAATAGGAAATGTAATAGAAGTAAAAGGTGAAGTAGAAGTAGAAGATAAAGTAACAGTAGAAAATGAAGTAAAAGTAGAAGATGAAGTAGAAGATGATGTGGAAAATAAAGTGGAAAATGAAGTAGAAGAAGAAGATGAGATAGAAGTAGAAGATGAAGTAAAAGATGAAATTGAAGTAGATGAAAATTGAAATAGATGATGACATAGAAGAAAAAGATGAGGTAGAAGACGAAGTTGATGATGAAGAGGAAAATGAAGTAGAAATATAAATTGAAGATGAAATAGAAATAGAAGATGAAGTATAAGAAGAAGATGAAGATGAAATAGAACATTAAGTAGAAGCTGAAGAAGAAGAAGAAGAAGAAAGATGAAATGAAAAATGAAGTGAAAGCTGAAGAAGAAGATGAAGTAGAAAATGAAGTAGAAGTAAATGGAGAAGATGAAGTAGAAGATGAGTAGAAATAGAAAATCAAGTAAAAGTGGAAGATGATGTAGATGAGGACAAGTTTTCATTCACTTTATACAAAAATTCAATTAAATTTGTGTTATCGAAACCAATCATAATTTTCTATGAAATATTGTTAATATAATAATATGATAGCATTTTTTTTATTTGTGGAATATCATTTCCACAAGGGGTGAAATCAATTTTTAATTTTTCAATTTTATTTTTGTCTCTTAGGATAATTTCATTTCATTTCATAATTATTTTAGATAAAGGAAAATTTTAAATTATAAAATATTTATAATTGATATAGTTGATGTGCAGCTACAGACAGATTGGATGAATTTTTTTCTTTAAAAAAAAAAAAATTCAAATATTTATTACATAAATGTCATTCGTTTTAACTGTATCTTATTTCAATAATATATAGTTTAATTTTTAATTCTATGATTTTATGAAAAACTCACATAACATTTCAGAACACTAGGATCCAAACTTCCTTCACGACATTCGCAACAAAATACAATGCAGTGGATTGTGAAACAAATGTTGTAATTTTATTAGAAATTGCTGCAGTTATTAATGACAATTGAACAAATCCACGATAATCTGGACATTTATCTCCAACTCTACCACAGAAAAAATTTGAACGAAATTTTAAAAAAAATATTTAATATATGTAAGGTAAAATGTTTAAAATAAATTATGCATTAAACTTAAAATTAATATAAAATAATAAATTATTCTATATATAATTTTTTAATATATTGTTTTATATATGTTTTCATTAAAATCAAATTTTTCATAATGAATTTTCTTATATAAAGAAAACAGTATATATAAAAATTCTTGTGACTTACTATATAATAAATTAGTAAATAAGATCTCGATTATTCAAACTAATAATAGTTGAAGCATAATATCTATATATATGCAATATAGTTTTAGATAATCCAATAATTTATATTATTGCGTTTCATGTGAAATATCACAGTTTTACTATATATTAACCGTTATTATATATATTCGTTTTAATCAATTTTTTTAGCCTTTTCATCTTTTTTCTTTCCCAGCTATCAAATTATCTTTCAAATTGCTAATTCTATATTACATTTCCCTTTTTTTCTCTCTTAACATTCATTAACATTTAAAGATTATTACCGTTGTTATTAATGCTTCTAGATATACTTAGGAATAGTCTTTACTGATCAAAACATCCATCATCAGATTTATTATCTTATTTCTATTATTATATATCTTTACTTTTTTTCTATCAATTTTATTTCTTCAATTACATTTCGTTTATCATATTATTTTCAAACTTTTATAATATCACAATACCAATAATTTATATAGCTTATCATTGAAAAAATATTAAATATTAGATAATAATATTATAATAATATTAATATATAATAATAATAATAATATTAGATAAATATCATATTACCTTCTAATAACATAATATTCTAATAACATTACCATTCTAATAACATCACATTCTACTTCTATATTTTCAATGATACTATGTGGTAAAATTCTAGATTCTAAATTGAATCGTTGAATCCAAATCTAATCTATTTCCATCTAAACGTTCAACTGTCATCATCTCGAAAAATGTGTATCTATATCAATTTTACTGTAGTCGGAATATCAAGATCTAAAATTTTAACGTGAAATGGGAAATATTCATAAAAAATTAATATGAATCTCTTTGCCTACTATTTTATCATCTTCGTCATTACGTAATACTGTTAATGTCAATGTTCTTTCGATATGCTTAAATCATTTTCATTTAAACTAATATAGCGATTTTAAATTTTTCTCACAATTTTGTATCAATGGCAATTGCATAAATATGTACGCAATGTTCACTTTGAGAAACACATTGTGCTATATCTTGTAGCTTCCGTTATTTTTCCTATACTTTCCTAAATTAATTTCTCACATTGTGAGTAATATTTTTAATTATAAATAAATTTTGTTTTTCTTTTTTAAACGCTTATTTTGAACGTAGAAGAAGAACAAAAATAACGATGTTCGATTCTGATGTCTGTTTTAATTTTCTAACAAAAAGAGAAAAATAAATATTTTTTACCTGATGAATATTCAGATCAAGCTTTACTGCCATTTATATATATTTTTAGATAATAGACATTGTATTAAAGAATCCAAAATTTCTACAGTTAAATTCATTTCATAGTCAAATTTCCTGCTTTGTTTCATTATTTACGTTTAAAGATGATAGAATGGAATAGATCTAAAGTTAACTGTGCTCCCGCATAACATCTTAAGACTGCCAATATATGTTGACGTGCAGTGACAGGCATATTATTTGGATGAATTTTTATAAAAAAAAATTCAAATAATTATTACATAAAAGTCACTCGCGTTAACTGTGTCTTATTTCAATAATATATAGTTTAATTTTTAATTTTATGATCTTATGAAAATTTACGTGATACTTTCAAGAACACTCAAGGATCTAAACTTCTTTTATGACATTCACAACAAAACACAATGCAATGGATTGTGAAATGAACAATTTGTCATTTCATTACAAATTGCGGTATTTATTAATTGCAATTGAATAAATCCACGATAATCTGTACCTTTATCTCCAATTCTTTCACAAAAAAGACTTGAACAAATATACCCGTAATAAGTTTACATATGCTTCAGTTCATAGTTTTCATTTTTCACCATATTTTTCTTTAAATATTGGCATCACATTGGCATATTTGTTTTTACACAATACAAACCACGAGATCCATTATAAATTCCACATTTTGGAATATTTTATTATATTTAATTCCACGTAGTGAGAGAGCTTTGCCTCTAAGTCAGAGAGTAGGTTTCTCATTAGACCTAACTAAATAATATTAACCTTAATTAGTAATACAAAGAACTAAGTTTCTACTTAGTTTTTTTAGTAAATTTACTTTACTCACTTACAATAAATTACCAGATTAGATTTTCTAGTCACTATTAAAAACATTAATGAACCAATAATTTTATTGTAAGAAAATAATTCAATGTTCTTGTTATTTGTATCAGTCTAACTGAACATTAAGATCTGCAACTGGAAAAGTTTGTATGATTATTGTATGATATTTACTTAATAATTTTTCCGTATAAGCCTTTTGAGATAGTTTCAGAGTTCGTAATT